GTTTGTATTATAAGAAGCGCTTTTCTTTTTAAGAACACTCATTCTTACATGCACCAATGTTAGACACTGCTGAAATTGAGTAAATATTACATTCATGCTATCAGTAGCAGATGAGAAGCAGCTTGTTGCGAGGATGAGGCACCAAGACAGAGATGTCATCTGACTCAGTTTACCCAGGGGATCCACTATGCGAAAGGAAACATAAGCGCTTCATATCGTCCATATTAGACTACCAGTCTTTTCCCGTATTTATTCATATTTGTCATCTCTCTTGACCTCAGATGGTAACTGAATACCCAATGGAAGATGCTGGATTTAAATTTTTACTGAAATGTTGCTGAAACATCCCCAACTCATCCATTCAGCTAGGGTTGGGTTAGTCTAATCATGTTTTGCAGTGTCTATGTGTTGCATTGTCTGTTCTTATAAAGGGATAATTCCAGTCCTAAAATCTGATTGGCTCACAACAACTGAATTCTGTATTACTAGGCCACGGCATGAAAAAAAACCTTGTGCTTTTGATGGAATAATCTCTGACTCTCATGCTGCTTGCATGGATCACCGAGTATATTGATGAAGTAAGAGCCCGTTTTTGTTTAAACTGAGGGGCTGACAGCTTATGTTCTTAACTAGAACTAGGCTGGTCAGCTAGCTAACAGGCTAAAAGATAGCAAACATGCTAAACAACTCCAACATTAATATCACAGGCTTGAATTAAAGTACTTACGGTATGATTAACTGTAAAACGGCAGTATAAAAGTCTAAAAATGTCACCTGAATGGATTACATGCTTCAAATGTTCATGTTTCAGTCAAAACTAGCGTCAAACCCAGGCTGAATCTCAAATGGCTCCGTACTTTCTAAAAGGCGTGCTAAGAAAGTTTAGAAATTCTAGCCTCTACAGCCAAATAGTGCATAATTTATCAAGCATGGCTGTGAATGAGTCCCAAATGACTCTTTCTTAGCTATTTTGCACTGTTGGGGTGCAGGAGCCAGCATTTAAATTCCTACATAGTGCACTATGTAAGGAAGAGGGAGCTGTTTGAGACTCTGCCCCAGCATGAGAAGAGGGCGCTGCTGGACTTGTGCTAAATAAGACTCGCTGTGGTAATTTGGTGTCCAAAAAGTTCTTATAAAGCGAAAGTTTTTGCATTAAACATTGCTGTGTTATCATATGTTCATTGTTATACGACAAAAAGTTTAAAATATTTGTGAAATGGCGGCCCATGGTTGCTTGGCAACGATACCATACTCTAAAGGTACTACATTTCTTGGCAGAATATTTGTTTATGTTAATTATTATTAATAATAACTTGCATTATTTTCAGAAAAATATCATTTTTCATTTTACTCTGCTTCAAGCCATGCCCAAGAACACCCTTCCCATGATAAAATTGCAGTAACCCACGGCCTCCCGTGGCTTATTGCTTTATTATTTAACAGTTATAAATGTTATGCCTTATAAAAGAAACTCATACCTTATGAAGAATTTTAGTCAGTATACCAGATGAACCCATGTATCACCCACTACTATGATTAATATTAATATCTGCAGCTCTTATTAGAAAGTAACATTAGAAGTAATATTTTTATGGTTGAGTTGGGTTTGACGGAGCACAGCAGCATTTACATCCAGTCTTGTAGATGGACGAGGAAACACCTCACAGATATATGAATACAAAGTGTGTGTGCTTGTGTATAACTGAGAATAGTTGACCAGAATTAAGAGCCATTTGGCATGGCTGCACTCCAGAGCAACAGCAGGTTGGCATCAGACTGGCATGGAGTGTACAAAAGAGTGGGAGAGAGAGAGAGAGAGAGAAAGAGAGAGAGAGAGAATGAGTGCAGCATGAAGGTCAGACAGATCACAAGAGAGCGATGCAAACAGAGACAGAGAGAGAAAAAGAGAGGCAGAGGAGGAGTCAGGTGCTGGTTGCCATGGCAGCTGCGCTGTTTGACCTTTGTGACCTTTACCCTCTACCACCTGTCTCTGTCAGCGGTGACTCCATGGTGATTTCTGGACAGACACTGAGCCTCGTTCCTCAAAAAACGATCAAACGAGAGATGACATGAGAGGGCAAAATGGCATCATGAGAAAATCTCAAGTGGAGTTCATCTGTGTGTGAGTGAGACGGAGAGAGAGTGCGAGTGTGTGGTTTTGTGTTTTGTGCAGCAGTATGAATGTGTATGGCGTAACAATACAAAGAAACACAGCACATTCATGTGATTTCCTGTTTCTGTAACAAGGTACTGTAACCCAGTAATTCCTGTAAACACATTACAGTCACTGACTTAATAAGAATTATGTTACTTTTGTTGCTCATATGTCTGTAAGAGAGAAATATAATTATGTGACGCATTGCATCTAATGTAGTTATGTTATAACTGAAGTTTTGGGGGAGGAACATGGCTGAAACCCCTCCTTTTTCCAATCTAATGCCTTATAAATTCACATCCTCGCTTTCCATTCTCGTGACGAAGTGTTCGCAGTCCCCACTGCCACCCCATCTCCTCCCTGTTCCTCAGTTCTACATCAGTCCTACTACAGCTATGAGGTGGGTCTGGCCTTCTAGCTACAGGCAGAAACTGCCCTGAGTTCTCCCCATTCCCTCAATCAGTCTTCCCTCATACTACCACCACATGTTGAAGGCATGGTCTGAACTCACAAATATTTATCTTATTTGTGTGCTTGTGCGCTACAGCTGACTGTGCAGCGTTTATTGTGTATGGGAGAAGCACAGAAAGCACTGCAAACTTACCAAGAAATTAACTATGCCATGAAACTGATGAATAAAGATTCCCATTTTGAAAAACTGAGAGCCCTGACCTCACCTAAACATAGCAGACTCAGTTTTCATTCTGAAACTGTTTTGTGAGCTTTGTTTTATTTTTAAATATTTTATTTTCATCCTGCCTTTCGCCCCATAAACCGCTAGGCTCCAGCACCCTAAAAAACCCAGAAAGATAAGCAGTTTAGAAAATGTGTGTGTGTGTGTGTGTGTGAGTGGGTGTGTGTGTGTGTGTGTGTGTGTGTGTGTGAGTGGGTGTGTGTGTGTGTGTGTGTGTGTGTGTATGTGTGTGTGTGTGTGTGTGTGTGTGAGTGGGTGTGTGTGTGTGTGTGTGTGTGTGTATGTGTGTGTATGTGTGTGTGAGTGGGTGTGTGTGTGTGTGTGTGAGTGTGTATGTGTGTGTGTATTTTATTTTGAGGCAGCTGTTTTTGAATTGTTTCTACCACCTGGTTTCAAGGTTTTCAAACAGCATCGGCCATTCATTATTTTGAAATAGTACAGCTGCCTGTGTGCTGTTCAAAGGCAGGGAGAGTGACAGGCCTTTTAAATGCTGTTTGCTCTCTATTGGCTATTTCTTTCTAAATGAAGTAAAATAACCATATCTCTCGTTTAGGTAAGACAGAGGTGTTTGGGTTTTTTGAGCGTAATCTAGAAATAAGGTAACTAGTAATTATATTACTTTGTTTCCAGGAAGAAATGAGCAAATGAATCTCATTGTAGTTTGAGAGAAGTAATTAGTAATTTGCAGCAACTACCCACACGCAGTCGTGTAGTGAGTGAAGTAGAGGCTCTCCTGTGCAGAGAGAAAAAGAACCTGAAGAAGGAGCAGTGTGACTCTGTGTTGTTGTATGTGCGTGTGTGTTTATTTGTGTGTGTGTGTGTGTGTGTGTGTCTGTGTGTGTGTGTGTTTGTGTGTTTGTGTGCGTGCGCCATAGACAGGCTGAAGACTCACAGCCAGCACAGAACACTCGGCATGCGTTTAATCTGGTCTGACTGTGAGAGATGAGTCAGGACGTTTCGGTGTCGTCCTCCAGCACTCGCACGACCATTAAATCACTCCCTCTCTCCACTGCCTGCCACCAACAACAAATGGAGGGAAAATAAAAAGGAAAAAAAAATCACACGTAATGAAAGAGGGAAAAGTGAAAAAGCACAAGACAGCATTTCCCCCCACAATGATGTGCCTCCTCTTTTTACTCGCTCTCTCTCCCTCTCCCCTTTCTCTCTCTCTCTCTCTCCTTTCTCTCTCTCTTTCCCCATGTCTCTCTATCTCTCTTTCTTTACCTCTCCTTTTTCTCTTTGTCTTCTCTCTCCCTATCTTTCACTCTATCCCTCTCTTTCTCTCATTCTATCCTTTCTTTCTCTCATCTCTTACTCTCCCCAGTTCTCTCTCTCTATCTCTCTTTCTGTCTCTCCTCTCACTTTCCTTCTCACTGTCTCTCTCTTTACCTCTCCCCTCTTTCTCTTTATTCTCCTCTCCCCTCTTTTTCTCTCACTCTCTCTCTCTCTCTCTCTCTCTCTCTCTCTCACATTCTTCCCATGTCTCTCTCTATCTCTTTCTCTCTCTTTATCTCTCCTTTTTCTCTTTATCTGTCTTCTCTCTTGCTCTTTCCCTCTCTTTTTCTAAGTCTATCCCTTCTATCTCTCATCTCTTACTCTCTCCAATTCTCTTTCTTTTTCTCTTTCTGTCTCTCCTCTCACTTTCTCTCTTCTCTTTGTCCCTTCTCATCATCTCTCTTTACCTCTCCCCTCATTTCTTCCCCCCCCCCTCTCTCTCTCTCTCTCTCGCTCTCTCTATGTATAGAAAGTGTAGCTCAGACAATACACTGTTCCTCAAAGTCAGATGTTTCTGTATATATGTGTGTGTGTGTGTGTGTGTGTGTGTGTGTTTGTGTGTGCGACAGAGATAGGGCATTTGTCCAAAATGTGTTCTATTGTTTTTCTCCATGTCTTGGAGAGCTGGAGATGTTCTCCATCAATATATCACTCTATCGCCTCTCCCTCTCTCTCTCTCTCTCTCTCTCTTCCTCTGTCTCTCCCTGAATATTTCATTGATGGACAGTTCTTCATTCATCATTAACTGGAAGTACATTTACAGCAAAGGAATACAAAAATGTACTTTTACTGATTTTTGGTAGGCTTTCCAACAATAGCTGCTTCAGAGGTGCTGATTCATCTCATGCTCTTTTTCTCATTCTCTATCTCTGTCAGGTTTGGACATCACTAAAGACCCCTGCTCGAAGGTGCACTGTCCTCCTCACAAAGTGTGTGTGAGTCACGACCTCCAGACAGCTATCTGCACCAATCACAAACCCCCACAGCACAGGTAAGACACACAAACATATATTTGCATGGTATTAGTACTGGGCAGTACTAGAAAAATGTAAAATAATGATATTTTTAAATATACTGCAGACAGTATCCAGACATCTTTTCTACTTAGTAAATTTAGCCAATCTACCCAGTTCTGATACAGGTACTCAATTGCACACGCACAGCTTGTATAAGCTCCATAGAAGAGCATTGTGAATAGGATGAAACACTCTGGAGCAGCAACATATGAGCCTAAAGTCACTTAGCCCAATGCCAGTTTTGGCTAGAGGGGTATAAAGGCCCCAGCATTGGGCCGGGGAGCAGTGGAACTCTCTTCTCTGGAGTGACGGATGAATAATAAGTACTAGAGTTGTACCAATACTGTATCGGTATTGGTGCCGATACTGGGATTTGAACGCAGTATTGGTAACTGCGACGGAGATACCGATACCTATGGCGGATACCACAAAGTGCACCACTTAACAACATGTCTGCAGTGTGAGTTCACAAGCAGCAAAAATGCCCCTGGCAAAATCTATAATGCCAGTATTACTTGGAAAATTACTTGGCACTCTTCCTAAGCTATTGCTTTCACAGATACTCCAGATAACGTAACATGTAACATGCTGCAAACAAGATTTTGCCGAACCTGCTAATGGTACCCTTACCTGAATCGCTATGTCATGGTCTTACAGTAATCCCTCGTCTCCTGCTGTACAGTCACTGACAGTCTGAGTTAATGTTAGTCCAGTTTGTTACTGAGTGAGAAATATATGAAAGGAACTGCGGGGCTCTTGAGGTAACGATAGCCTTTAGCCTTGGTCTAGCTTTCGGCATAGCAGTTCGCTAGCCGAGCCTGTGTGTCCACTCACACCACCTGCAGTGCACCTCTATCGTTCTGCTGCATCACACAGTGGCAGAGTAATGCAGCCTTTGGCTTCGCCAAAGCTAACAATTGGTACCATTGGTAAGAGAGCCCTGAACGGTTCCCAAGACAGTGGCTTGGCGACCTCTTATACATCAGTGCGCCCCCCATGTGGTCAAATATAGAACTGCACATACATGTAGATACAGAGAGAAGCAAAAATTAACTACAACTGGGGGTCATAGCGGATAAGCTGGAGTGGTGTTTGTGATATAGAACTGATCATCCAACATCAGTACCTGACCTCACTAGTGCTCTTGTGGCTGAATGCAATCAAATCCTCTCAGCAATGTTCCAGCAGCTAGTGTAAAGCCTTCCCAGAACAGTAGAGGGTGTTACTGCTGTCAAGGAGGATAAACTCCCAATACATAGCCCTGATTTTAGAAGAAACATGGATGAGTAGGTGTCTACAGACTTTTGGACATTTACAGCAGCACGTATACATGATACCAGATGATATTTAATGATATGATATTAATTTAATGAGATGAGATTAATAAAGGTAATGAACCCGTAACTCAAATGCTATGCTATGCATTATGCTGTAACATAATGTCTTACAAACATGACGTAGTTTGTTTTGATTGGACTGTTTTGTTCTGTTTTCTTTGAAAATTACCAAAGGAAGCCTTATACACTATTCTAAACGTTAACCACACAGATTTCCAAACTATTTACTTTTTATGTATTTTGAACTGTTCTGTAAAATCAGTCTTAAGCCAAGAGCAAATGTTGATTACGTTGTTGTTATTCATAAATAACTGTCAGCTAAAAATCACATTAAGCTGGTGCAGATGATTTATTGGCCAGCACAACCTGCTTTATCTCTCTCTCTCTCTCTCTCTCCCCATTTCCAGCACACCTGGTTTAAAATGATCTCTGGTTGCGCTGTCCTCAGTGTTATGGGGTAGCCATGGTTTTGCCAGAGCTGAAATGATATTAGCTGAATTCATTCTGCACTCTGTCTCTATCATGGATGGCCTGCCACGTATAATCTCCCATTAATAGCGTATCACCATCCTACTGCCATCTGCGCTGGCCAATTAGTCTATAAACATGATTAAAAACTCTTTCTAAAAGCTAAATGAGCTACCAGGACATCGTTTAGTTAAAAAATGGTCCTAATTGTTTACACTTTACTAATAATTTTACATTCTAAGCACTCTTGTGATACCAGGGTGCCATCAGTGGCCTTCGCGAGGTCGTCGCGGTGACGCCGGAATGTCTGGGCTGTTCTTGACCCCTCCCCTTCCTCTTCAACCCGTGCCATGTTAGGACAAACAAATATTAATTATGCAGCAGCCCTTTGAGTGGGCTCAGGAGTTCATTAGGCATAATTACTCACGCCCTTTTGATATGCAGGCACACAGTAACCGGTGCCCTGCCAAATCCTGCTCCCTGTGAAATAATGACATGCTGATCCCCATTATAAAGCAAATACGCTGCTCGCACACGATAACAATTTACACATTCCAGCACCTCATTTCCTGCCACGGCGACAAAAGTGAGCACTAATCTGTCATTAATGCCAAACAAATGAGGTGTGACTATCGCTTTTTTTATCATTAATTTACACAATGAGAAAGACAGAAATTAAGTAGATTGTTTATATGTAAATGATAAATGAACGCATAAATAATAACATAAGATTAAGTTTCACTAAATAACATATTAATAAATGATAAAGGCTGAGGATTATGCAGAAAGGCTTATAATCCATTGAATAAATCACAGTGATTATTATGATCCTGGGCCGATCCTTTTAGCTCCTGTTGATGACGGTTTGTGTTTTGAGTTTTGTCGATGATCTTCGACACGGGACTGACTGAAATGGATTAATCGGTGATTATGGTGAGGCAGGATTATTTTAGAACAGAACTCTGGCTCACCTCGACCCTGAGTTCATTATACTTTGTTGCTATACTTTGAGTACTTTGCCTAAGTACTTGAGTAAGTTGTACAAAACTTGTAACTTGAGCTACACTTTTTACGGCTTACATTTTTCTTTAGACCTTCAAAGTAATCATTATTGTTATCCCTCCTTGCAGCATGCAGGTGTTGAGTGGGAAGTAAAATATAGTTCCTTCCTCCACGCTGCCGTTTTTAACACAGAACAGCAGGCAACAATACAAACAGGCAATAAGTACCATCAACATAGACAATAAACTGAACAAAATGCAATAACTATACTGTCAATGAGTAGAGGAAAATAGAGAGTAGAAACAACACCTTACAGTAATCAGACAACAGACAATGTAGGTGAGGGGGCATTAATCAACTCTTAGACCTCAGCAGTAATGATTATTTCAACATGTATAAAGTATATAAATGTATATGTACAGTTGTATATATTAAATGTGGACACCCCTGGTCAAATTACATGTTTTGTTGATTTTCTAAGTGAAGACAAGTTAATATATCTTCTACAGGGAACAAACCTAAAGCTGCACTATGTAAGATTTGGGGATTTGGCCTCTCTGGTGTAAATGTGTAATTGCATGCAACATGCGGAAGAACATTTTGTAACATCGGTTGTGCTTCGGACCCCTTCCCCGACCGGATGAATCTGACAGTTGAAAGAAAATTCAAAGAAAACTTAAAACTGAAGGTCATGTCTTCTGAGGATGTAAGTGATTGATCTACTACTGTCATCATTTCTTTATCAGTGTAATGCTGATTTGGCATTTGACACCTAAAAATCACACCTTCTTTTTTAACCCATGTGTGTGACATTAATATTTAGAGACAAATGATGTGGTCCAAAAAGCTCCCACGAAATCCAACCTGACACCTTTAGTGCACAATTTCCATTTGAGTTTAACATAGGGGGAAAAAATTAACGTACAAACTGTGCCATATCTTTTGCACAAGGTATATTTTACGTTATTTATGAAACATAAAATGAAACTTATTTTATAAATAAGTTAACAAAGATGTGTTAACTTATTTTTAATTACAAAATCAACAAAACATGTAGTTTGAACAGGGTTGTACAAACATTTGCACCTTTGCCCCAAACCATGTTTGTACTATGCTAGTCTGAGCTACTTAAAGTTGTAGAAAAGCCTGGCACTGGCTAGCCTACACTAAAATGGTGGTCAGGTACCAATACTGTTCATGAATGTAAATAACCTCTACAAACATTACTAAGTTTGACTTCAGTGTGTTTAATAAAGCTTAAAAACCAGGCCAATCTATTCTAAATAACTCTTAGGTTCTTTCATATCTTCAGAAAGCAGCATAATCCTATAATTAAATTTAAATGTCCCACTCTATGCTTTTTTTGACTCAGCGAGAATTCCTTGCCATTCTACATGGCTATTGACATTTCATTTACATAGAGATTTGGACCCTTTAAGTAGGTAATAGTCCGAATGTCTTAAGGTCCATTAGGCAGATCTGTGCAGTAAAGGTTGTACTCAGGGGGCACCCTGAGTTGAAGTAGGGACCTCTTGATCTTTACTCAAATGCCCTGCCACTAAGCCAGACCACCATTTTCTTTCTTTTTTTGTCTTGCCAATGCATCGAATTACTGGCAAATCACTAATAGCTTAACATGAATAATGTCACATTGAAATGCAGCTGCTGAAGGACAAAGAAATGTAACTCATATTTTTACAGTGTAGCAAACTAGTGACTCCTTCCCTTTTGCTGTGTGTTGCAGCCTGTGTTGCATATTCAATTTTTCAACCTAAAGTTAACCAACACGTGCAAATTATGTGCTGATTTTACCAAACTCTAACCCTTCTCTGTAGTGTTGTAGTAAAGACCAATAAAGAGGAGTTAAGATCATGACAGAGACCTGGACACTCGGCAAGGCTGAGACTAGGGGCCATTTTATATATTATAAAAACTTTCTTAAGATCTTTAACTTAAGATCTTTCTGTCTTAAGTTAAGATCTGACAGGTCAAGATAAGATTTTTCACAAATTTGTATTACAGAAGAACATTTTATCTTAATTGTAGAACTTTATCTTATCTTACACCATCTTATCTCAAGTTAGGAAATCTTAATCTACTCAATCAAAGCGGACAATCAACTGTCATATCTGTTCCCTAGCAACTGACCATACAGGCACAGCTGAAAC